CCAACCCTTGAGGAACACCACTCGTCACTGGCTTCCACTCAGACATTGAGCCATTGACTGTGATTCTTTGAATGCAACCATCCAGCTAATTCCTTATCCACTGAGTGGAAACACTACTTCTATCTTCCATTTTCCAACTGATATTAGGAGTTTTCAAAATAGTCACAAGGAAAGGAGTCTATTCTCATTCTCTACACTCCTAAAAACTTCACTCCAGGTAGAATCATACTGGCTCTAACACCAAACAATCAGTTTCACAGTACTGGAGGATTTCACTGACACAGAAACAAAAATAAAACTTACCCCACCTAGAATATGGGCAGTGTTATACGAGTTGTCTTTGACAATACTCAATACTGTGCCTAACAAAACCCATGTTCTCAGTACTATGCTGTCCTTCTTAGATACACACACACAGACACACAAATAACTGTGTCAAGCTCAAACTGAAATAAATGACTAGGTAAATGAGTAGGTACCTGGTAATGGCAGCAAACAAGTTCACAACAGATGGTATACAAATCTTCAGGGGGTTTAGCTGACACATGACAATACGCTCAAAATTTAAACTCTGCAGATATGACAGACCTTGAAAGCAAGAACAATTGACATATATCAGTTATTTATCATATAACCTGAACTTAATTTCTAGGAATTTCCAGTCTGATCAGCCTGCACTCTGCACACCACCACAGAAGCACATCCTAGGGCACTCTCTTACAGTAGAGATCTAGCCCACAGCTTGTTCAGCAGAAAAGCTACTCCGAACAGCAGTAACCTGCCACAGCTGAGGGATCCTTCTAACACAGATCCTACACTTACACACCCATTACAGGGACTGGCAGAGGCAGAGAGTCATCAAGACAGATTATTAATTGAAGCCCACACTAGTTTTATATAGCTGGAATTCAAACATGCTCAGTAAGTTGGGCCAGATACCAATGTTGAGGAGTTATTGGCACTGTTTTCAACAGTGGGGGAAAAAAAACATTCTTTAGCTTGGCAGCCCAATAAGTGTACAAGCCATCTCATTTTATTTAGGGCACAAGTTAAACTTGCCATCAGATACTCAGCTGAATTGGCTATTACAAAACACATCAACAGTAAAACTTGCAAATTAATTCAAACACTGTTCATACCAAATATATTCACCTTTCCTTAAGTTTCCATCCAAAAGTTGCTTATGACGGAAAATAAGCGTATAGAACACTGCCTGACACGTAGAATAAAATGGCCCGTGGAGAGCTACATCACAGTAAGCATTAGTCCCTGTATCCTGATTATCAATGTATTTATGCATCCAGTTCACCAGAAGATCCAGGCATGCTTTTACTGTACTATAATGGAGGGAAAAAAAAAGTGTAAAAATAGCACCTGAAATGGTGTAGAAAAGATGTTTAACAAGTACTCAAAGATCTCGGTAGCTATAAGAAACCATCAGTAAGAAAATCTCATTGTAAAAAAGGACATTCTGTAATGAGCTTTCTCCTTTATCTCAGCATAAAATGAATCAATGCATCAGCACTGAAAACCCCAGTGAAAGCACCACATGCCAGAAGAGCCGAATCCATGAACTCATGTTGCATGTGAAACACACAATAAACAATTAGAATCCTGGGCTACAGGTAGTACAGAGAGAGATGCCTCCCACGTCTGACAAGTAATTCCAATATCCAGTTAAGTTCACCATTAAAGTCACCCAGCCCACCTCAAACAGCATAAAAATACAGAATGTATACGTGCAAAAGAAGACATTTTCACCCATCTGCTGAAGTATTTTAATCCATCTGTATCAAAATATTGGAAGATTTGACTTCCCTGTCTCAAAGTCTACATAAAATGCCTGCCAAAGGGCATTAAAAATATCTGCTTCTGAATATCAGATATACTGGGCACCCATGTCTGCCTGAAGACAACATAACCTACCCATGCTCAGCATTTCTTGGTAAGCGAGCCTTAAAACTGTGAGTCACGAATCCCAGCAGCCATTAGTCTGTATCCTGTAAACGCAAAACTTTCCAGGAAACTTCAAGACAATACTGAAACAGCATTGTAGAAAAGACAAACCAACACTGTGAGTGCATTCTGTGAATTCTGTACTCAACCCCAGCATCATCATAAATTGGTTGGTTTTGCTCATATATCAAAACAACTTACACAACTGGAATAAATTTAGCTCTTGCCAAGAAGCTGCCAATGTAACTCCCAGCAGTCTGCCTGATCACTGAAGGATTGTTTGGATCATGCAGTTTTTTCCAAAGATGGTCTAAAAATGCCTCGGCCAACCCCTGGAAACAAGATACACAGAAATCATGAGTTGCTACACTGATGACACTGTTTAAGTAAACAGATTCTTAATACTCAATTCCCGTAATTTCCATAACCAAACCATTTAAAAAAAATCTAACTATAACTGTAGTAAATAACTATTCCTACACACGATGGAAGAGCACTCTTTTCTGTGATTTTTCCTATACTTTGTTGTAAAAAGTAAACGGAACCAGAAGTCTAGGAAAAATGTCAGGAATAGATACACGAGAAGTTTTCAAAAACAAGAGCAGTAACAAGGTAAACATGAAGCGACTGTTCACTGTCTTTTGTAGCAGAAGAGGTCACGGACATCCAACGAAAACAGCAGGAAGACAAATTCAGAGAAACAAGTGATTTTCACCTTAAATGGTTACACTGTGGAACTTTTTGCCACAGAAGTTCATGATGCCAGTACAAAAAGCATAATATCATGAGATATTTTCTCCTTGAATTCGTCCATCGTGGGCTGTTACCACAAAAGAACATCACTTTGGCTCAGGAAGGTACCAGAGTGCTGCTGGAGGCTGAGAGGGCATTCTAGCAAAGCATCATAACATGCTTGCCCCATTCTGATATTCTTTCCAACACGTCCACTATTCACCACTGTCAGAGACAGGGCATTAGCTTAACTGACTCTTTAGCTACTCTTACACCAAAAGTATGCATGCTCTTGTTTTTATACGGTAAGAGAAAAAACAATAGTTTGTTGAGAGAGACAGGAAAATGAGGAAGGGAACAAACGGCAAACACGATTTTCAAATTGAAGAGTTTTACAGACTACAGAGCTACAGACAGTAGCTCTAAGACAGTTTTGGGATGCTGAAGAAACTTGCTGGAGCACTGTGTCGTGGGTTCAAGAGTCTAGCTGATCCTTGTAAAAGAAGTCCATTAACCAAGTCCCTTCAAAGTAGCTTAGATCCCACCTGTTTACAGTTTATGAACAATGTGAGAAAAGCAACAACAAAGAAAAACTTGAAGAAAGGAACAACAAATAAGGAAAAGAAAGCAAAGATACTAATGAATCTTGATGTACCATCTTCAGACTAGTATTACAGCAGAAAACAACCATTTTTTGGAAAAAACAACAACAAAACAAGGATGCAGAAATGACAGAAGACACTGCATTTTAAAAACAGCTTCTACTCACCAATTTAAAGCTACAGATGTAAAACATGAAATACTGTACATGACATGAAGCATGGGTTGGTAAAATGAGCTTGTCAAAAACAGAAACCAGATCCCGATATAAATCCTTTGTGTTGCTCATATCAAGCTTGCCTACACAAGAAAACAGAACAAAATGAGCCATTCCAGATTTTTTTTACTGCCCTCATGCTGCAAAAGTGGCATTCATATCTTTCTAAAGCACTAAAAAATATCTAAAGAAACGCTGTCAAGCTGACTTCTAGGCTTATCTGACATCTAAAAAATATTTATAGTAAGACCTTCCAGGACTTCTGATCTACGACTTTTTATGGTGGCATACATGGAGAACTATCTGTGTGCATGCACACACACACACACACGTATGAAACTGGCAGACATGTAAACTTTGCAATAATGTGTTAATTCAGAAGAGCCAGAAAACACCAAGAAATAAATTACCTGACTTCTGTGGAGAAGATACAGCAAAATGGTTTCTAAATATTCTGTTTTAAATATACAAAAACTAGGAAATTCAAAAACCCTTAATAAACGGAAGTGTAAGGTGTTTTCCTGGAACACAAAGCCTTGCTGTAGCAATTCCAGTTTGAGTGACATGGTTGGTTGTTTTAATCTACTTCCAGTCCTTGTGATGCTGAAAGGATCCATAATTCTAATGCTCAAAGCAATATAATAAAGCAAATGATAAAACACTGTGGGTGAATCAGAAAGTATTTCTAATCCTCTAAGTTTTGTTACACAATGAAAAAACAAAACGCTATTTACCCTTATACCCTGTAATGCCACAGCTTGGATAGTGTCATATTTATATAATCAGAATATCTCCAACTGAAGACTAAACCTTTGAAGTCATAAAGGTACCTCTGCATCCTCTGCCAGTAACACTGGGCAGACGCAGGAAGGCGGACTACAGCCTGCTGATGGCAGAATTCTGACACTAAAGGGCAAGGGCTCTATCTTGCAGCAGCAGAAAGCAAGAACTCCTCTTATGTTTTTCTTACTTGTTAACAAAACAACAAGTTTTGTTATACTTCAAGTGCTCTTACCATCTACGTGGCAAACATCTTTAATATAGGAGAACAGGATGGTCATTAAAATATCAAGGCGCTCTGCAAGTGGATGGGCCATTCTCTCACTACTGGAAGAGACAACTTTGTTTCCTTTTCTTTCTTCATCTTCCTCCTGGTAGATAAAATGGCAGTCATGAAGCTTTTATATACACAACATCATAAAGACAGCAATTACAGGAAAAATTAAACCAAATTTCTCTTTCAGGGATATGGTAAAGTTTTGTCTTTTTTAAAAAAAAGCAGTACCTAATTACACAGCGTAGTGTAAGCAAATTTTTGTGAACTAAGCCAACTACCATGAACTCTGTAACTAGCTCTATGTATAGCTGCTTGTGTTTTTACATAATTAAATTGATTCACTGCATGTACGCTGGGTATTTACATGAATAAAGTCAACACCCAAAGAACACACTAATGTTTGTCAGATGTTCAGGTTTCGAGAGCTCTGTGCAGTGAAGTAACAACAAAGCAACAATGTGTTCCTACACTGTCTTAGTTCAGTCTCAGCCACCTCAAAAGTGAAAATTTTACTAAAAAAAAAAATTTAGTAGAACAAGATAGCAAACCATGTCAAAAAGTCCCTCCTCTGTAGATTTTTCCTCACTGTCAGAGTTATTAGCAGTTTCTTCAGCATCTTCAATATCTTGCTGTGGAGTACTAACCTACAGTTACAAACAAAAAATTCATTTTTATAAGACCATGACAATAATATTAAACCTTTTTTTATTTATGTAAGAAATGACAACAAGTAATTTCTAGACTAGATTTTGTCCTTGAGTAAATAAACATTTAAAAAGCGAATGGTATGTATGTAATACACACACTCCAAACTGCCTGAAACTTTACCTCCAGAATATAAGCCTTCCCTAGACTGTTCTATGCTGAGGTTCTCCAAAATAAAAAGCCTTACATCATTTACAGTGCTACCCCTCCTGCCTTTTTTAAGACTGTAAATCCTTTTACTTCAAAGGGATGATAAAATAGATCAACCAAAGAAAAGCGCGTTCTCTCCACATTAGCACTGATCACTATGAAACAGTTATTTTGATTTCAGCAGGGTGTAACAGAGATTCCATGCAGGGTTTAACAGTACAAATCATACAGTCACCCTCAGGTAACTGTGTGGGAATATCTTAAGACTGGGAACGGAGTGTAAACTTGGTTGGTTTTATACTGATGATCATGAGCACTACTGCAATGTACTTTTTGTTGAGCATAACACTAAAGCATAGTTTATTTCCTACTGCGTGCATTTTAACACCAATTTTAACTTCCTTAAAAGACGATACAGAACAAACTTACATCCAACTTTAACAGCTTTTCAATAATAAGCTCCAGAATTTGAAGCCTCAGAGCTGGAAGGTACACCGTAACTCGTAGCAGGTTATGAACATAACATTCCTATAACACAAAATTAACCAATATCTATAATCACATTAACAAAAAGTTAATTTCTGCCAAGGATTTTTAGAAAACAAGTTTCTTAATTTGTTATCTAAAGAGCCAGAAATAGATTTAAACAGACTGCATTCAATCTAGAATAAGTTAATGTATAAACTAAACATCAATTTTCAATTGTTAAGCTGTGTTATCATTAACTTCTTAATCTACTATTTCCATGCATATTTTTCGAGCTATCTAGAGAGTATGAGTACAAATATTCTGTAAGAAAAGTTATTCGTTTCCATAGGAGTTTATGTCTAAACTTTCTCCATGAATATTAAAACAAGCAGCACATTCCTCACTACATCTGGAACAAGCTCTAGTAGAACCATTTAAACCGAGACCAAATACATCTTTATTTCAGATTAGCATAATACACCAACAATTCTAAATTCCACAAGTTAAGCCTCCTCAGAGTCGTCCTGATTACAACTCAAGCAGGTTAACAGACAAGTTCTCTGAGTGTCATGTGCTCCCCCACATACACACACATACATATAAAAGACAACGCTGCAACTTTCACATAGCAGAACTATCAAGTCAACAAATCAAATTCGGTAAAGTGCCACATTTAAGTACACCATTGTCTCTTTGTGAATATGCATTATAACACCACCTTTAATTACATGAGCACATATGATTTTTCCACAGGCCATCTGGCTCGCTCAGTACATAAAATGGATAAGAGTTAGTTTAACGACAATGCATAAATTGGAAATATTTAACAACAATGCACGGACCGTATTTTTATTATACTTCATTTGAACCTTACTCTGAAAACAGTTACGAATTTCTTCACGACTTGCTCCTCATTGAGCTGCTAAATAAATAAATAATTATTCTCCTAACACCTAACAATATAGTAAGAACTATTATCCCCCTTCATTTCCAATAGGAAACCGATGCCCTGAGTTATTCGGATTAAAAAAAACAACCAAACAAAAAAAAAAAAACCACCTAGCGAGGTACACAAAGAACTTTGGGGGGTTTCCAGCAGTTGATGAGTTCAAAACGCAGCTCCAGCTGAACTTGGCTGGTGGAGCACAGCTCTGCCTGTCTGTAAAATAAAGTGCCAACATAACAAGTTGGAACAAGTAAATACAAAAATCACACAAGAACCTTAACTTGTCAAAAGTTTCCAGCTTGTTTTTCACCACACATGAAGGTGTAATAATACACAGAGGTGTAATAAAACAACGCCCTACGCTACTGGCAACTTGGATTTCACCTATAACATCCATTGCTTTCTGTCTGCTTATCAAATCCCCTGTTCTGAAAAATGCTTTCCAGTTTTGACAACAAATGAGACAGGTATCCTACCGTCTCCTTACTATACAACCCTGAGATTCATCGTCAAAGTGGTCCATCTTGTGCACTGATTAAGCAAGCAATCCTGTGGAAAAGATATGCAGTTATGTCATTAAAGACTCGCATAATGCTTATGCACAAGGAACTTAAGTATGCTTGGACAACCTTATACTAAACAGACACACTCATATATATAAGTATGTATAAAAAATAACAATAATCTTAAACAATACACTCAAAAATCTGCATTCAACACCGCCAAATCAGTTGTCATACTACAGAGTACATTTATATATTAAAAAACAAGCGAAAAAATAAACAAAAATATTCACAGCTCTTACCAAGGTTCTTTCTGATTTATTAATGAAAGGAAAGTTTTCCACAAGTATCGGCATGAGAAATTGTGGTGTCCTACAATTTAAACAAACAAAAAAAAAACCCAGAAAACACCCAAACCCAAAAGTTACAGATTAGCACCACAAAAGCAAATATTGAAGCTCCAGCACTCTAAAGACAGATTGGAATAATCTTATTTCACAGTAACTATTTTAAGGTAAGTAATTGTATAAAATCTGTTTCTACAAGGACACTGCACAGACAGCAAGTGGCAAATTTTCACTGTGGACTCATTAGAAGCCACTTCAAATACATCTCTATAAACACAACCTTCCCTACTTCCTATTTCCATTAACAGGATTTTCAGCTGCTGATGCCTATGGAAATCTCATAAGGATTGGATACAGCATTCCACCAGTTAGTGAATATTAGGAAAAAAACATGCAATGAAACTCAGTATTATACTCCCAGTTAAGAGAAAAAAAAAAAATTCATCAGTTCACAAACTTTAAATCTGCAAGGAAGGGGCATACAAACCCATGGGATCATATACTTACGAAGGAACATATCTTGCAACAGTTTGCAATGCTCTATGGCATGTATTAAAGTTTTCAGAAAGGTCTAGAGAAAGAAAAAAGCACTCTTACGCATTTGGTTACAGAAAACTAAATCAGGAACCAGCAGAAACAGTTCATATCACCTAAATATTTTAAAGACTCCCAAGGAAATTGCATTTGCCAAAGTGTTTGATGGGGGTTTTTTGGGGGGTAGGGGGTGGTGTGTTTTATTTTGTTGTTTAAGCTGAACTGCCTTACTACCAAAATAAGCACGAAAAATAATTACAAATAAATTTCATGGCATCACAACCACTAAACTCTGAATGTGCTGCCAGGCCCAAGGCCAGCTATTGCTGTTACACGCTCTCAAACTGAACACTAAACCTATGCCTTATTTTCACAAGAGTCAAACAAACAGCTCATTAGGCTTCTATAGCAGGGGTTTTTTTATCCAAACAGTGTCAGAAGTGAACAGCAGAAGAGTAGTTGGGTCATCACCAGCAGAACTGAAATTTATTCCAGCATCCAAGATAAGAAAACATGAAATTCTTGAAAGATATTCGGCTGTTTGCCTTAATCATAAACACACTAATTATGTGGCATTTTTGTTATAAATATCAGCGGTATTTGAGCTTACCACAGGCAGACAACAAAAAAAACTCAAGAATCCCCCAAACTACCTACTTTTATTGCAGTAAATAAAATGGAAAACAAACAACTCCTAACTTCTCTCTGCCTTTGAAACAATCTAGGACTAGGAATGTTTTTTTTCTCTGCATTTGGTCTTAGGAGTAAGACACTACAGATTACTACAGATACTACAGATACTGTACCAACAGGAATATTTTGAAAGTAACAAGAAGTGGGTCACCACACCACTGATTCGAGTACAAGAAAGTCTTTTACTTGGGAATTTAAAGATGTACAGATTCTTCACATTTTACATTAACTCAGACAAATCAGTCTGCAAAAATGGAGCAACATGCACCGTATACTTCTTTAGCAAAGGTGTTACAGCAGCATATACAAGCCATGCTTTCTTTATACTCACTTTCATCATCATCATCAGAATCCGAAATATCCACATCATCTTCTCTGATGGTTATTCGAGCTAGCGAAAAGTAAGACTATCAAAATTGTGCAAATCTTACAGGTAACAGTTTCAATGCCAAATCAAACACACCGGACAACAGTTTTCATCAGGTCTAAAACATCAAAATTATCCACAAGACTTTCTAAAACAAGCAGAAGCTCATCAAAAAGACCAATTCACTCTCAGAACCAGAAGGTTCTTGAGAACATCTGACACTAGCCTCACTGCAGCTTTTGTTTTTCAGTAATAACATTATACGGTTCATTCCTTTCCAAGACATGTTCATAAATGGGATCTGTATTAGCCACTAGAATACGTCTTCTAAAATCTAGGCACAGCAAACTACCCGTATTACAATTCAGCTATTCAAGTTAAGAAAGTAATCAACAGGGAAAAAACCCAAACCAACAATTAATTGTCATGCATTATATTTATACAGAATTTATCTAGGAAAGACATTTTGATAAGCAAAGAAGATTAAGAGAAAAGTAACTTACGGGGGACAAAGTGTGATACAATCATCCGGAGGCATGGCCTAAGATGGACAGTTTGTGCTGACACTAGATTGCCAAGAAAACCCAGATATTCTTCCACTACCTCTCGGCTTCTGCTCAACCATGGCACCTTCTGAAAGTAAGCAAAGACCAAAGTGTCAAAGAAAGATGTTCTGAGTATTAAACTCTTAAATCTTCTCATGTAACAAACAGGTATTTACCAGCAAAACGCTGACCAGCTGTTCAAGCTCTTTGGTCAAATATGCAACAGAAGCTCGAAATTCATGCAGCCAATTAATGATCTGGGCATCCTTAAAATAAGCAGAAAAAACCAGATAACTATTCCAATAAACAGTATTATCTACAACTAGAAAAATAACAAACTCTCTAAAAGTCAAAGATTAAGACTGTAAACAGAAATTATTTTCACATTAACATCCAAGGAGTTTCTTTAAGTTTGTATCCTCACCAGTGAAAGTTCTTGGAGGCAAGACTAAATGCGTACCAACTCCTAAACCAACAGCCTGCCTGGAAGGCTTAAGTCACGGGCTGGGCAAGGCACACAAACCTCACTCACCAGAACATAAGTTAAAAATAGCATTCAATTTTAATTTTCTTTTGGTTTTGCTCTAGTTGAAGCAGAAGGGACATTCAAATCTTGAAACAGGGGACATACTGAATCAGTAGGAAAACCATACAGAAAATTTTACTCCTATTTTGCCCGTACACTCCAAAAGGCCTGCGAAAAACAAAGTATTTTACAAAATGTCCTCTTTAAAGAGAAAAGGAACTCCATGTAGCATTATGCTTCCTGCAGCATTCTCACAGTTCTGTGGTTTAAATAAAAGGGGGAAAAAAAAAAAAAAAGGAAAAAGACAGCAAATGTGGTGGGCACTCACAGCTTTATAGAAAAGCTGTGAAACAATACTTCTGGGTGTAACTTCTAACTGCACATGTATCTTACTGCCTGATTGAACAAGTTTTTAGTGAGAAGAGAAGGTAAAAACTCATGCAACTTAAAGGCTGTGAAAGTCAGAAACCACAGTTTGATCTACAGAAGTAAAAGCAAGCACCAGTGACCTAGAAAGTTACCTGGAACAGAGAAAGACCCTGCCACAAAGCAGGAAGTTCCCACTCTAGAGCAGAGAGTCAGTAAGCACGAGATGTCACTTATCAAGAGCCTACATATGAGGTATATACATGTATAAACAGACAATTGCTGCTTTTTTTTTCATTTAGGGTTTTATTTCTGATATTTTCCACAAAGCAAAAAGCTGTTAAATGCAGGTAAATGTTTAAAGCAAAGGATTCGGGTAAGCGCCAGAATGACTTGTCTAATGACTACGCTCAGACGGCCAGGCCTCAAATCACCAGAGCCCTTACTACCACCACCCTTACCTTTATGTCTGGATCTGACAGCTGATGCTTCAACAACTCAAAATCCGTGGTCTCACCCTGGCAGGGGAAAGAAAACAACAGTCCAGAAAAAATACCAATTCCATCAACGCATCCGAACAACCCAGTAAGAGGCACTCGCGGAACACAAGCGAGCAGGAAAGCCCGCGGCACGCTGGAGCAGCGCTCCCTAAAGGCCAGCTGAAACCGCTGGGTCACTCGCAGCTGGTCTCCCCGCAGACACGGCGGGGATCGCTTTGCACCCTTTGGCGTGAGGCAGGCGTTACGTCCACCCAGGACGTCACTCCGGTTGACTCCCGAGAGAGAGCCTTCCACTTG